TTGCCGAAAAGGATACCCAACAAAATATTACAAATTAGTTTTATTACACTTTATTAAGTTTGAGTTTAAGTGGACCATTTTCACTGTGACATGATTTTTTTGTAAATGTAAATACTTTCGCAAAATTTTGTGGAATTATTAAACTTTAATTTCATATTGATTTCTTAAAGAATATGAATTAACTATTTACGCCTCTTTTGTTTATACATTTTTATTGATTTCGAAGACTTTTTATTGTTTAAAGTGGCTTGTGACAGGTGGACCATTTTCACTGTGACTCACATTTGAAATTTGAAGATTTCCGCAAGTAAAGGAACGTGGCTATTATAACGGCAAATTCACAATGTATTATCGCCGACATGGTAGAAATATCAGGTAGCAACATAGGCGAAAATTACAACAAAGCAACTTTTTTGGAAACTTGATATGTCAAAATTGAAAGCAAAGCGAATTTACCTGACATATAAAATTTGAAGCAAATTGGTTTGCTTCAAATTTTATATGTTTTATATTTGAAATATTGAAAAATATTGTTTATTTTTAAATTTTTATTGAAATTTCAAGCAAGGAAATGTTGTGTTGTTGTGAATTGTACTGTTTTGTACGTTTCCAGGTTTAAGAGAACTCGATAAAAGCAAACAATAGCATATAAAAATGCGTTAAATGTCCGCGAAATGGAAATCTCAATGGAAACAAATTCAATAAGAATTCAGAGAACTCAATATATGAGGAAGGAACCATCAACCATCAACAATATCAACATTAAACGGTGAATTTCCGATCTCTACCATCTTTATTACAGATCTTGTGTAGATGAAAATATTCAGATGTACCAATTCTCAATAGAAACAGATGTTAATTTCTCGTTTTATGAGCTTCATGGATTTTCAAAATTTTGAGCCTTTGTGGGGGAGGCACCAGAAGGAATTGACCGATATACCCATCTTCACAGCTTATCTTGAGTTAGTAGAAATAATGGGATGTGTAAAATATAAAAAGAATATGATGCCTGTTTCGGATTAAATAAACGTTTTGGTTATTCAAAAAATATTGGTATATATGAAATGTTGACCCTTTTCTTTTTATTTTGTGAACGGTTTCAGTGCGAGCGTAATTTTATGCGTGTTTTTAAAACAATTGTAACAGAATAAAAAAAAACAAGCAAACTATTTATAAAGAGTTAAATAAAGTTTAAAGGCATGATAGCCAGCGAACACTTCCAAATAAAAAGGATTGTGAAAAGATCAAGAGCAATACGAAAAATTGGACTGACGTTCGTAGCTGCTTAAAGAAAACCTTAGTATCTGGACGCTGATAATTTCTTAAAGGCAGGTATATTGCGGAAAGCGGGAAAAGTTGCTTCCGGAAAAAGATTTTTTTTACTCCAACGCTTTCCTTTACGCTCCACAGATACGCTCGGCAGCTAGCGATTGTCAGCTGCATCCTGTGGTCACCAAACACCCTGTGTATGCCAACTGTGCCAGTGCCTAAGATCAGCTGCTGAAAAGTGGACTCTATCCGAAATATATTTCAACACTGCAAAATTCATCATATGGTCGTGATTTTATGTCAGTTTTCTCGCTGAGAAAGGAAAACTAATATACCAGTGGCCCAGGAAGAGTTCAGTATAACAGCAAGGTAACAAAGTGTTATAAAACGATAAACATCCTTATACTTTGGAAACTATAGCCGGCCGTTAGGCGCAGAAGATAAACAACCCAAGTTTGACTTTATTAATTTTTATTTTTTTTGATACTTTTATTATATTTTTTTTTTGATACTTATTCGAGGAAACAATTTACGTAAATCTTAGTCTAAGTTTTTTTATTTACATTTTTGTGTTACTATAGTATTTTTGTTGTGATTGTTTTTTCTTTATTTTTTTTATTTATTGTAAGGGACTATATATCAAGGGCAGGGGTCTTATCAACCGTTTTTTTTCTTGTCGTGAGACGTAGATGGTCTCGGAAATATTATATACTTAATTGAGCTCGATTAGGTAGGCGTCTTAACATAGTCGGTAACTTTCTGGCGAAATTTCAAGCCAGTGAAAAATACCCAATCCCCTTAGTATAGGTCCTGATAGGGAATAAATTTAATTTTTGACAATATAAGAAAGCAAATCTAATAATAAGGTCCTTTCGACTTTGCAATTTTGATATTCAGCTTCCTAATTTTAATGTCCGAATAAAAATGTGAATCGTATTATAAGAATTAAAATGAATATTGTTTGAGTAAAAATTATTGGAAGGATTATGGTCGAGTGGGGTGGTGAATAGAGTAAGGGAGTCAATGGGGTCCACATAATGAAAAATAGGGTTTCGTGGACCATGGTAGGGTGGGCCGAGTGGGGGTTCCGAATAGCAAGGGACCTTAAAATCCTCAAGGAATGTTCTCTGTGTGTTTTGTTTTAGAGTAAATATTTGTATTCGTTCACCCATGAAATAAATGATGTTGGACCCGAAGTTCGTTTGGCGGTTGAGAACCTACCTGAGAGTCTTGAGCAGCCGGAAGGCCAAACCGATACTGTAAGAGCGGTCCTAACAATTTATTATCGCATACCTAAAAAAATCTCTATGCCGCCCATACTCTGTAGGCATGAAGGTCAGCATTTGCAAAGGTATGTGTAGATTTCAAATTTGTAAAAATCTTAAAAATATCGCATGTAGCCGTATATTAGGGTCTATACGACGACGTGGACCTGCATAGGTCATTTTTGTCACAAGCTATTACAATATTCAAATGCGAAACTTGAAAAAAAAAAACTGTTTATAATGTAGCTAAAATTATCAAAATACCGAATATTAGGAGGTACCATGGGGGTGATAAATTTTCTGTCATAGGCAGTAGTATCCATTAGGAACTTCAAATACAAAATTTGAAATAATTCCGACAAATAATGTCGCTAAAATCATCAAAATACCGAATATCGGGTGTTCCGTTATATGGGAGCTATACGAAGACGTGGACCTGCACATACAATTTTCTGTCATAAGCTGTAGTATTCATTACGAAATTCTAATACCAAATTTAAAATATTTCCTGTAAATAACGTCTCTAAAATCATCAGAATACCCAATATCGGGAGTTACAGTTATATGGGGGCTATACGGAGACGTGGACCTGCTCACACAATTTTTTCTCATAGGCTGTAGTATCCATTACGAACTTCAAATACCAAAATAAATGTCGCTAAATCATCAAAATACTAAGACGTGGACCTACATGGCCCATTTTCAATACCAAAAGTCCTCCAGACATAATATACATTCGAGTAAAATTTTATCAACCTACTTCATTTCGTTCGGAAGCTAGAGTGATTTCCACAGAGGGACGGACACTGATAAATCGCCATAGAATTGTATGCTGATCAAGAATATATATACTTTGTGGGGTCTAAAGTGTATATTTCGAGGTGTTACAAACGGAATGACAAACATAATATACCCTCCATACTATGGTGGAGGGTATAAAAAGAGGAGTAATTAGTTAGATTATGTTCTTGCAATGATAAATAGGAAAATAAACATTAATAATTCTACATAATTTTGGGCAACATTTAACATTAAGCATAAAAAGAAAAAATGCGTGTCACAGTGAAAATGGTTCACAGTGTGGATCAACGATAAATAACGGTAGTTTTCCATATTTTTATTTTGTTCTTTTTTTATTGTTGTTCTGTATTCCTTGCCTTTGCTTACATTTATGCATTGACACGAAATTAGTTTATATCGATCTACTGGTTCTTTTTATTTCATTTTCACGATGGGTCGTCATACTACGGCCGAGCTTCGAAATCTAATTATTGACCACTAAAAAAAGGGAAAAAACCAAAGAGAAATCGCGGAGATCGTTAATAAACCTCGGGCAACAGTTGCAAACATCATTAAATGGTTTAAAAATGAAGGGCGTGTTATCAATAAACCAAAAATTAGCCCAAAAAAGCTTTTCAGCGATTATATAGATTATACCCAGATTGAGTGCACCAAAGCTACGCGGTATGGTTGAGAAACATTTCAATATAAGCTGTAATGGCGAGACAGTGCGAGTAAGCGAGTAAGCGTTTGAAGAAACCCGAAGTATTTGCGTCCGACGGTTAGACACGGTGGGGGTCATGTCATGGTTTGACGTGCTTGTTCCGCCGCTGGTGTTGGTAAATTGCACTTTGTTGAAGGAAATATGGACAAAATACAATATTTAAACATTTTGAAAATCAAGCTTAAACAAAGTGCTGAAAAACTCGACATAGAAGACTCCTTTCATTTCTATCAGGACAATGATCCAAAATATATGGATATTATTGTAAAAGAATGGCTATTGCATAATTGTCCTAGAGTAATCAAAACTCCCCCCCAGATTTAAATATAATTAAAAATTGTGACAGAAACTGGAAACTGAAAATCGAAAACACTACATTTTGAGCAAAAATGACTTAAAAATGGTTCTTTTGGAGGAGTGGGAAAAATAAGTCCAGAATATACCAAAACCCTAGTGGAATCTACTCCCAATCGCCTTAAATCAGTTATTTGCCAAAAAGGATACCCAACAAAATATTACAAATTAGTTTTATTACACTTTATTAAGTTTGAGTTTAAGTGGACCATTTTCACTGTGACATGATTTTTTTTGTAAATGTAAATACTTTCGCAAAATTTTGTGGAATTATTAAACTTTAATTTCATATTGATTTCTTAAAGAATATGAATTAACTATTTACGCCTTTTTTGTTTACACATTTTTATTGATTTCGAAGGCTTTTTATTGTTTAACGTGGCTTGTGACAGGTGGACCATTTTCCCTGTGACACACTGTATGTACATTTGTAATTTGAAGATTTCCGCAAGTAAAGGAACGTGCCTATTATAACGGCCGATTCACAATGTATTATCGCCGACATTTTCAATTGTGTCCCGTTTGTTGCTGTTTCGTTTACAAAAATACCATAAAACGAACGTTTCTTTACAATCTGGTAATATCGTGTATAGACAGCTGATATACGAACGTCGGAACGTGTTGGAGAATTACAGTCTACTTCTGACAATAATATCAATTAGAGACATTAAAGCTCAATAAAATATTTAATATTTTCGGTAAAATAATCGAATTTTCGAAACACTGAACTAAAGAAAACAAAATTCGGCATGAATTTAACGTTACATTTCATGGTTTATGTAAAGTAGATTCATACGTGTGTGTGTGTGTGATGGTCGCTTGTAATAATGAATACCAACAAACAATTTTTGTACGCTTTACAACACTGGCGATTATTGTTGTCGCCGTCGGTCGTCTGAATGGAACAATTTAATGTTTGTAGTATTCGTGTGGCCAAGTGCAGAAGTAAAGAGAAAATAAATGCAAAATTTCTAGAAAAGAGTTGTGATAAAAGTGAAATAATGTTGTGAAATATATAAAAGAACTGAGAGAGCATTAAATGAGATACGAAGTTTCTTTGCCTAAAGTTTTAGAAGCGGAGAAAAATCAATACACAGATTTGCCATTTGTGCAATAAGCCAAAGCCAATCAAGACATTTCATTTTTCCTGCCCGTGAGTTGTTTTTGTCATTGAATTTTGAGTGAAAAGTGTTTGATAATGACCATAGTGCGAATGAGTGGAATACGACAGAACGGCAGAAAGGGAATTGAGTTTGACATAAATAATACCGGAGATGATGATTAATGGGTCAACTGGAATAAAAAAGAAATGCCAGGGTCTAAAATTAATGGGAAGTTGTCTTTTACATATTTGATTTTATTTTGATCACACATTCTAAACATTAACAAAGGTGTTTTTGTTGTTGTTGTAGCAGTAGTACATGTGTGTGTTTGTGTTCTGCTAATCTGGTTCCAGCTCCAGGTTTAGAAATTCGGCTACTTTAACGGGCTGTAGCCAGAGATCCTCTGGAGTGAGTTGGGTAGGTTTGGCTGAGCAATTAAAAAGGTGTAGCGTATTGTGCGGGCCTGTATCACACGCCGGGCAGGCGTCACGCACATCTTCATCAATTCGTGCCCAATACGAATTGAGGCGACTACACCATCCTGAACGTAATTGCGCCAAAACTACCCTGGTTTGTCTAGGCAGCTGACGTTCTTCGGCTGCAATGGATGGGGGGTGGACTCCGAGGACGGCATTCACTTTGTAACTGCTAATAGCATCCGCGACTGCATCGGTGTGAATGCCACTCAGACCTGCCTGATAGGCTTCTTGATCTAGAGGCTCTCTCTTGTAGCGCTGGACCTCCCTCTCTAGATCATGTATGTCCTTCCTGACACGCCTGGGTGGGGGAGAGTTATCCACCATGTGATGGTTGGGATGGCTCTCACGGTAACACCCAAGCAGGTACTGCAACGAAAGCATATGATTATGCTGACGTAAGGGAAGGACTTTCGCCTCCTCATGTAGATGGTCCACTGGTGTCATGAGGAGGCACCCTGTCGCAGTTCTCAGGGCAGCGTTCTGGCAGGTCTGGATATTCTTCCACTGCGTAGCACTAGTATTCGCAGACCACACTGGAGCCGCATAGTTGACCACAGACCGACCTATCGCGTTATAAGAGGTCAACAAGGTTTCTTTGTCCGCACCCCAAGAGCTGCCGGCTAGCGCCTTGAGGACCTTGTTCCTACTTTTCATCTTGTCGCAGATAGCTGTGGCTTGCGCGGACGACTTGAACATGCTGTCGAACGTTACCCCAAGAATCTTGGGGTAGTTCGTGGTCGGTATTAAATTCCCCTCGACCTGAACATTCAGCTGTGTTCTCATCTCCGCAGACCATGTGGTAAAGAGTGTGGCCGTTGATTTCGTGGCGGATATTTTCATATTCCTCGCGTGGAAGTATGCGGCAAGCTCCGCGAGATAGGGGTTCAACCTTTCGCATATGTCATCGACCACTGGACCCGACGCCATGATCGTACAATCATCCGCATACGTTACGATCTCAATGCCGTCTGGAGGGCGAGGAATTCCGGAAAGGTAGAGGTTAAACAGTTCCGGAGATATCACCCCACCTTGGGGAACTCCCTGTTTCACTCTACGGGCTTTGGACTTCTTGTTCCGGAATTCCACGTACGACTGGCGTCCACACATATAGTTGATTATCCAACGTTTCAAACTTGGCCGGAGGGTAGTTCTCTGTACGTCCTCAAACAGTGTGGCATGATTGACCGTATCAAATGCCTTTGATAGGTCAAGGGCTACCAACACTGTTCTGTCACACGGCCTGTTCTGGTTTAGTCCTCTACTAATATGTGTGGAAATGGCGTGTAATGCTGTTGTGGTACTATGTTGTGGACGGAATCCATGCTGGTGGTTGGCAACTGCATAGCTTCCTCTAATGCTGGGGAGGAGTAAAGCCTCAAGAGTCTTTGCTACTGGCGACAAAAGCGAAATCGGCCTGTACGATTCGCCTTTACTGGCATCCTTGCCTGGCTTCAGTAGCGGGACCACCCGGCCCATTTTCCAGGTTTCGGGCACTATGTAGGTGGCTAGCGACAAATTGAGAACTTTTGTTAAGTACTCGACTCCCGGCGTATCCAGCTGCTTCAACATTACCATTGAGATTCCGTCCGGGCCCAACGCTTTGGATGACTTAGCGTTACGGATGACATTTGCAACATCACCCATCGTAAACTGTGGTGGTTCCTCCTCGGCGGGAAGAGATCTGATACGACGTAGTACTCTTCGCTTCGCCCTATCACTCTCGGGGTGCTCGACAAATTGTCGGTTAAAATATTCCGCGCACCTCTTCGGATCAGTCACCGTTACGTCGTTAAAAGTGACTGAGGTCCTATCATCCTTTTTTCCAGGGTTCGAGAGCGACTTAACCGTTACCCACAGCTTACTCATATCGGTTCCAATGTTGCAGCACTTCAGATGGTCTAGCCACTTTTTCCTCTTATGCTCCTGCACCAACCGGTTGACTTCCACTGTCAAATCACTGATTCTAGGATCAGTAGGGTTGGTACGACGGAGATCATCACGCTCGTTTGCTAATCCCGCTGCCTCTGCTGGGAAGTTTGGTCTTATCTCGGGTATTCGACCAGCAGGTATATAGCGAGCGGCTGCAGCTCTGATGATGTTTCGGAAAATCCTTTCTGCTACCCGAACATCAGAAGGGTTGGGCAGTTCTCTGAAGCGGCGGTTGGTGAATTCTCTGAACTCTGGCCAGTGAGCTTTCCCATGGTTAAGGAAAGTGCGGCGTTCAGAGGTTATGAAATCGGGCGACCTGCTTATGGAGACGATTATCGGGAGATGGTCTGAGCCAAGAGAAATGACGGGTTGCCAAGTCACGTCATTTATCAGACCGGGTGACACTATGGTTAAATCTGGCGAACTGTGACACTCTCCTCTTATTCGGGTGGGGGCATCCTCGTTAACCGTGCAGAATGTGGAGCAGTCAATCTGCTCTGCCAGCGCTGATCCCCTCTGGTCATTACCTAGGACGGAATGCCACAACTCATGGTGGGCATTAAAATCCCCTAGTACCAGGCGGTTATTGCCTACCAATAATGGGCTAATATCAGGCAAATAACGTGGTTCACAGCTATTAATCGGCGGGATATACACATTAAGCACCTCTACCTCGGCAGTTCCACACTTGACTGCTACCCCCATACATTCCATGTATGGGTCACTAGAGACTAGCTCAAGCGAGATAGGTCTGTACTGAACAGAATGGTGTAACAGGAACGCTAATCCCCCACCTCCACATCTGGTGCGATCCTTCCTTAGTACGTTGTAACCATAACAACGTTGTAGGCTGCAATTTTCATTCAGCTTGGTTTCCTGCACCGCTGCGATCTTAATATTCCTCCGACTCATAAATTCCACTATCTCATCTATTTTGCCTCGAAGTCCGTTGCAATTGAATTGCAAGAATGATGCACAATCCGGAGTTGGAACAGCAACATGTGGCGTTAGGTGCTGCGGTGTTGGTTGCTGTTCTGGAGACTGCGGTGGAGTGCCATACTCCGACGACGTCTCTGACGAGGACGACGAAGAAGAGGACTCGCTGGGGACTACGTTACTGCAGCAAGTCGCAACATAATCCCTTTCGCTGTAGTCTCGCAAACGCCTTAATCCGGAACAGTTCTTGAAGTGCACCCACTCTCTGCATCCATTACATCGCACCGAGACAGATCTGTGGTGGATGACGTTCTGACAAACCGAGCAGAACCAAGGTCCGGGGTTTTCCTCAATCCCGGCACGGACCAATAAAATCCGGAGCAAGCATTCCGGGATATGCTGCTCCCAATGCAGAAAAATAAACAAACACAAACATGTACATACTGGGTTGGCAGCCGCTGGCCGAAACAGGAAACTTGTTGTTTCGGGTCAATCCGGTATCGTAGAACCCGCTGCCGTGGGTAGTTCAGTTTAATTTTTCACCTTTTTACATTTATGTGGACTTGAAATTAGTGTGTATCAACAACACAAGTCTGATTGGGATAAATATTCAAGTATTGAAATTATTCTGTTTTGTGGTTTTTAGCGAATATCGCTAAATTATTTTTAAAGGTCCAGGGATGCATGAGCTTACGGCCATTATTTTATTTCCAACTAAAGCCGTTTTTTCATTTAGCCAGCAGGTACAACACACACCTACTAGTGTTGGAAACTTAGGTTTGCTTGTACTTTTTCACATTGAGGTACAATATCTATGGAATATGGAACAAGTTTCCTTTATGGATCTATATTCCTCAGCAATTTGAAAACAGTAGTTATATTAATTACAACTCTATATTTTTTGCGCAATTAATTTTCCAAACATATGGCCCTTAAATTTTTCGGCATACGATTATTCAATGGTGTATTATTTAATGGATTATGTTGAATAGTTCGCAGTTTGGTTCAAATTCGTATCGTCATAGAGCAAGAGACCTATACATTCGAGTTTATTTTCCATTCTTTTTCATATTTTTTAGAATTTTTTAAATTTATTTGGACTGTACCAAACCTAAATCTATATAGCCCATTTTCATTGCCAAAAGTCCTGCAGAACTAACACACATCTGGGTAAAATTTTTGCCAACTACTTGATTTCGTTCGGAAACTAGAGTGATTTTTACAGATTGACAGACATTGCTAAATCGACATAGATTTTAATGCTGATTAATAACATATGTCTACCTCTTGTGGTAGACATAACGGAATGACAAACTTAATATAACCTCCATGCTATTGGGAAGGGTATACAAATCGGTAGAATTAACTGTTTTTGAAAAATGCTAGTCAGTGAATTAGTGTATATGTGGTAGTAACATACAACTCTTTTCAATCAATCTTCAATTTGTCTTGTGTAAATGCCGTTAAACGCCGGTGAACAATATTTTATGGCAAATAGCAAAATGTACAGAATAAGACATTTACCATCTCTGTTCCATGAAAGTGTGTTTAGATTGTACTTTTTTTCGAAAAAGTACTTCTCTCATCACTGCTACCACCACAACAATTGGCCTTCCGTCATTCTACTTTTCGTAAACAAACCTTAGAATATATTTACAATTTAAGGATTTTTTAAGCAGATTTATTCATTACTTTTCGTTTTTCTACTTTTTTATTTCACAGCTCTATTGAATTGCATTGCAGCAGGGAAGATAAAAAAATCGATTTTCCTAAGAACACCTTTTTTTTGGCCGAAAACAACAGAATCGTCGTTTGTTTCAGCACCTCGTGAAATGTCAAATGAAATGAATGAAAAACAATAACAACACAAATAAGTGGCGAATCAGTGTTTTGTGAACGAATAATAAGGGGAATAGTCCCAAACCAGAGAGAAGAAGAAAGATAAATTGCAGAGAATATGTAGACATGGAATGTCTACAACTTTTCTGAACAAACGTGTGGAAATTGTCTTGCATTTTCGGTTGGAAAAAGTCTCTAAATATCAATAAATGATTACAAATAACGTCGAGTCATAGTAAAACGATTTACAAAAATACAACCAAGTTTGAAATCCGTATTCGATGGATTTGCTAGACAGCGCAATGGAGCTATTGAATAATACTTCATCGCCCACGATTAGCAGCGGAGGTAGTAATATCAGCTCAACAACATCTCATGGCGAATCCCTATATCAACTGCAATCGGCAAATGCAAATAATTTAGTTCAAGAAGCAATGGCCATGGCATCAACCGCAGAGGGGGTGGATGGAATAGGTGGTGGAGGTGATGTCAGTGGATTAGAAGTTGTATCTCAGCCACAACAAACCCTGGAGGATGCTTTTTTACCCCGTTATGCATTGAAATCACCCAGGTCTTCTAGCAGCAGTGAGAGTGAATCAGAGGAGGCTACAAATCCAACAGCTGGAACTTCAGCCGATGGCAATGGGGAGAGGGTGGCTTCACCACCCCCAAATTGTGCCATCTGCTTGGGTCGTTGCAAAAATAAATGCTTTACCGACTCATGCATGCATCAGTTCTGCTTCAAGTGCTTGTGCGAGTGGAGCAAAGTCAAACCAGAGTGTCCACTGTGCAAGCAAACCTTCAAGTCGATTATTCACAATGTCAAGTCAGAGCACCAATTTGAAGAGTACCATGTCCAGCCGCCAACTGTGCAAATTGCTCAATCCCAATTTGATATGGATCTGGCACAGATGCGCATCTTTGGCGTTGTTAGTCAAAAGTAAGTATTGATTTAACACAATAGAACATTAAATGAAGCAAAATACCTTAATGCAATTCTCTTCATCACATAGTATTGGCCGCAATGAAACCTGGAGTGATCGTGTGAATCCTAATTTTATGTACGCTATAGCCCCAACAGCAGCTGGCGGTGGTAACAACAATCGTTCCATGCCAGTAGGTAGCTTGCGAAATCAATATATGTATCGTGCAGAGTTATTGGATTTATATCGTCAAGAATATCCTGATAGTACATTAAGCCAATTGTGGCGTCGCTATGTTTACGATCGAAAATTATACGCCCTGCCAGTTCGTGATGTTACCGGGCGTTTTCGTGAAAGCAGTTCTCAGTATTATAGGTAAGATAATTTCTCAGTATGATACTTGATTCTTTTGTTTTATCCACATACAATGTATTTCCAATTGGCATGGCTATTTGAAGTAAAATTCCATTAAACTACCGTTTTCTTTATATCAAGTCTGGTGACTTTTTCAGTTCTTTTGACAGATAAATTAGCAAAGTTCAAGGCCAACCCTGATAGATTATGATCTATTTCTTAAAAAATGAACAGTAAAAAAGTCAAGATTAGGATACCTTTGCAATATTGGGCGCAATATAAAAGAAAATAAGATTTTATTTACAGAAGTACAATTTTTTAATTTGAAAGCAGTAAATGATTTACAGTTGGCACCCATGCATTCTGCTTGTTTTTAAATGATGTCATTATGACGCCCAAGAGGTCTTGTAATTGTAACGACATCAATTGTCACCTTTAAGAAATGGGCCTTTGTCATATTTTTTTTTAAGGGGTTTCTCCACCTCATGGTTGAGGATAATAAAAGTTCGGCCAGGTCAGGCTTAACGAATTTAACCTTGATTTAATTAACGAATTTATCTTTGATTCAATTTCATTAATTATTTTTAATATGTTTTTATTGAAGTGTTGTTTTTTATTGTTGACCTGTTGTACATGAATTCTTAATAACTTTATTTTGGCTAGTGTTTTTTTTTTATAATTTAGATTTTTATTTTACGATATTTCGACTGTCTACGACAGTAATCTGCAGATGGGCTATATCGGTCCACGATATTGTATAGCCCCCATACAACGGTATCCCCCGATATTTGGTATTTTGATGACTTTAGCTAAATTTTTCAATGGAACGGTCTAAAAATCAATATTAGAAATTCTTTCCAAGCACTTTACTCCCTGAAAGAGAAATATATAGGTTTACGATATTGTATATCCCCCATATATTGATACCCCCAATATTCGATATATTGATAATTTTGCCACATTTTCCAACGGAATTTTCTGAAAATCCACACAAGGAGTTTTTTTTGAGTACTTTACCCTGTGGAAGAGAATTGTCTATATAGGTTCACGATATCTTATAGCCCCCATATAACTGTTCCTTCCGATATTCGATATTTTGCTGATTTTAGCCACATTTTTCAATGGAATTGTCTGAAATTCTACACTAGCAGTTCTTTCTGAGTTCTTTAGCACTTGAAAGAAAATTGTCTGCATAGGTCTACGATATCGTATAGCCCCCATACAACGATAGCTCCTGATATTCGGTATTTTGATGATTTTAGCTACATTTTTCAATGAAATTTTCAATCGTGTTGGCAACCCTGTTGTGATTAGTTCAAAAAATTGTGGTGCTCCGTGCTTTTGAAAAAAATTAATAGTTATTGCGTTATTAAATTAATTAATCTGGTAAAAAAGTGTTTAAAAGTGTTCAATAGTGATTTGTAACTCAAAGTGATAATTGGTGTAGTGTTTTAAAATCTTGTTTTGTGTTTTAAAGTTATATCAATTTTAAAATTGTGTAGTTTTACATTTTCCTATTATCCTCTTTCTTTTGTTACATTAGCTAATTAGTTGTTGTAACATTATCGTCTTGTTTTGTTTGTCATCTCAAAAGAGTTGCCAACATTTAAAAAAAATAAAATAGAATAAATATAAATAACAAAAATTCCAGCTACAGATCTAATCTTAAATAAAATATTTGGAACTTGTGTATTAAAAAAGAAATAGTTATAATTAAAATAAAGAAAATGTCGTGCCCTTTTGAATTGTGTAATATTGTTGCAGAGGATGAATTGTGTGTTACCTGTTGGTTTTGTCTTAATCAATGGCATGCAAAATGTGCTAGGATTAATGCAAAAGTAGTAGACACAATTAGAAATAATGTTGGTGTTCGTTGGTGTTGTGTGCAATGCAGGAAACTCTCTGCAGACTTTTATAATTTTGTAAAGGATTTGCAGTCGGAATTGACATCGATGAAAAAAGATTTTTCCTCATTATCACTCCGATTTGAGAATTTCTCTACATTGTTTGAGAAATACCAAGAGTTAGATGAGTTTGTGTCGTCACCGTCAGTTTCTGGACAGAAACGCAAAAGGGCTGCGAAAAAGGCACCAACTAAGGGAGTGCCTAGTCGCAAAGCAATAGTTTCTGTTAAGAACACTGTTCCACAACCGGTCTCAGTTAATATCACTGATACAACTGAGACTGGACGTGAACAGTCGTATGCCAGTGTTATTACACACCCAGTTCCGGTAGATAACAGCGGTATAGGTAAAGGGGTAATTAATCCTGATGTTATGAATATTGATAGTGAGGTTTCTAAGAAAACCTCACAATCTACTCGTGACATACAGGAATTATCATTTCCTTCACTTGTCACTAGTGATCGTCCCGAGACTGCTACTGGCAAAACTCAACCTGTTCAAAAATCATTATCCATGGCCCCCGCCATGAAAATGATATTTGCAACAAGGTTTGCACCAGAAACAACGGCCGATGACATAAACTATTATATAAAATCAAAAATTGAGGGAGATTACTTTTTGAAATGTTATAAGCTCAGATCTGCATTTTCTGAAAGTAGATCTTCTTTCAAAATCGTTGTGCCTGACAATATTTTTGTACAGTTGATTTTAAAAGAATTTTGGCCTGCTAGGGCATTTATTAAAGAATTTGTGGACCAGACTCGGTGCCAAAAAACTAAATGATTCATTTTCTATCTGCTATCAGAATGTAAGGGGGCTTAATACAAAATTAACCAGTTTATATACTGATAGCATTGGTTTCAATTATAATGTATTGGTTTTCTCCGAAACTTGGTTAAAAACATCTATATTAAATAGTGAAATTTTATGTTCAAAATATCAAATGTTTAGAAAAGATCGTGTTTGTAAAAAAGGTGGTGGCGTCCTTATTGCAGTTGATACCAAATATACCACTAATTTAATTGATCTAAATGATTTTCTTGATATAGAATTTGTTTGTGTTTCCATTGAATTGGGCAAATCTAAATTGTTTGTAACTTGCTCTTATATTCCCCCCTCATCTTCGCTTGACATTTATAATCAGCATTTATCAGAAATAAATTTAATTACTGAAAAAATGAAAGATTCCGATCGCATTCTGATCCTTGGTGATTTTAATATGCCCTCCATTAAATGGCTTCCAATGCCAGATTCTGAAGCTTTGATTCCTTTGCCATCTGAAATGAACAGTACCCAGTATACATTTGATGTTGTAAATAGTTTGTGTGACTTAAATCTTTATCAAATAAACAGTATAAACGGCAAAATTCTTGATTTGGCGTTCGTAAATATAACACAGCATTTTGATATATTTAGAATTCCTCCAATATGCACTCCTGAAGATATATACCATCCAACTTTATATATCTCCATGACTCACAGTTATGTAATTGAAGAAAGTCAGTCCGACTCATTTAAAACTGTTCTTAATTACAAAAAAACTAATTTTCGAAAACTTAATACCCTCATTTCCTCCATAAATTGGGCTTCTGTGTGCCTGTGTAACAGCCATACAGATTTAGAATATGTAATTGATAAATTTTATGATATTTTAAATAGATTTAAACTGGAATGTGTTCCAACCACTAGAGTTAAAAATTCAAATAAATATCCATGGATAACCCCTGAGTTATCAAGTTTAAAAAATTCTAAAAATAAGCTTTTTCGTAAATATAAAAAATCAGGCTTAACAATAGACTATACTAATTACTCTGTTGCTAGATCTAAATATACTTTACAGTCTCGACGATTGTATAATCTTTACCTAGACAAGATTAAAAATAATGTTAAATCCAATCCTAAATCTTTTTATGATTTTGTTAATCTAAAACGAAAAGTTTCCTCAAAGCCCTCAGTATTGAAATATAACAATAAAGAATTTGTCACAGGCACAGATATTGCTGAATGTTTCGCAGATTTTTTTGCCACAACCTATTCCAGTACATCTTGCCAAATTAAAGACTCGTATCCTTATAAGTTATCACAGGCTGATCAAATTTGTATGCCTTTTCTACAACGTCATGATGTGTCCAATAGTCTGCGTAGTTTAAAATCGATTAAATGTCCAGGACCGGATGGCATACCTAATATAATTCTTAAATATTGTTCAGAAACATTAGCACTTCCGTTAACTATATTGTTTAATTATTCACTTAAATTTGGTCACTTTCCTACTTTTTGGAAAAAATCTTATATTATACCTTTACATAAGTCTGGTAGTCTTACTAATGTGTCAAATTATAGAGGAATTGCAAAATTAAGTGCCATACCAAAATTGTTTGAAAAATTAATTACTGCAGTAATTTCACAGAAAATTCAATCTATATTGAGTCCATATCAGCATGGTTTTCGTAGTGGTCTTTCAACTACAACAAATCTTATAGAATTTACGTCAACAGTAATAAAAGGATTTGTTCAGCGTAAACAAACTGATACAATTTATACCGATTTTAGTAAAGCTTTTGATAGGGTTAACCATGAACTCCTAATATATAAATTAAATTATATGGGTTTCAACACAAACTTAGTCAAATGGATATCATCTTACTTACAAAATAGATCACAAGTAGTTTTGTTTGAAGGGTATCTATCCAAAACGATTAACGTTCCATCGGGTGTTCCGCAAGGAAGTCACCTTGGACCGGTCCTCTTTCTTTTATTTATCAACGATTTGCCTAATTCCATAAATTACTCGAAATTGTTAATGTACGCAGATGATGTTAAATTATTCATTTCCCATAATTGTGATAAACGAGCTAGTTTACTTCAAAACGATTTAGATAGCCTTTTTAAATGGTGCACGTTAAATTGTATGGAGTTAAATTTAAGCAAATGTAAGCATATGTGCTTCTCCAGATCTTCTTCTCTGATATTAAAATATAATATTGCCGGTCATTCATTATCAACTGAAGATTCATTTGTTGATCTTGGCCTCTTGATGGATCCAAAATTAAATTTTAATAGCCATGTAATAACAATGGTAAATAAAGCAAATGGTGTTTTAGGTTTTGTTAAACGGTGGGCCAAAGAATTTTCTGATCCATATATAACAAAACAATTATTTACGTCTCTTGTTAGACCTATATTGGAATATGGTTCTGTTGTATGGGATCCTCAATATGCAATATATTCAGATAAAATAGAATCCGTGCAAAAACAATTTCTGCTATTTGCCTTACGAGGTTTACATTGGAATAGTGATTTTGTTTTGCCTTCTTATGCTAGCTGGCTAAAATTAATTAGATTGCCTACACTTAAAAGCAGACGTATTATGTTGAACTCCATGTTTGTACTAAAAATATTAAATGGTTATATACCTTCAGATTTTCTGATTTCATCTATTAGAATTAATGTTCCGTTTAGATCTAGTAGATACTACCAATTATTATATACTGATTTTCACCGCACGAATTATTCAATGGGCGAACCTCTTAGTAAAAGGTGTGTTGACTTTAATTCTGTGTACTGTAATGTAGATTTTGGTATGAGTTTAGAAGTTATTAAATCTAGAATAATTTTATTTTTAAACAATTAACATACATGTTTTATTATTTGACAAACTAGCTGATGAATTAAATTCTGTAGCTGGTTTTAAATTTCCTACTGAATTCCCATTATGATGCGGATCATGATGTGTACGCGATCCCTCCGTAAAGGGAGGTCGCCCCCTCGGTCGGCAGGGGTGGGAATGTGAGGCGTGGGAACGTTCGAAAAAAAAAAAAAAAAAAAAAAAATCCATACTAGAAGTTATTTTCAATCACTTTACTTTACTTTTAAAGAGAAATATATAGGTTCCCGATATCGTATATCACCCATATAACGATTCCTCTTTATATTTGGTATTTTCATGACTTTAGTCACATTTTCCAACGGAATTGTCTGAAAATCCATACTAGAAGTTCTTTCTGAGTAATTTGCCCCCTGTGCCTCCAGATATGGAAGATTATTGTCGATATAGGTCTATGATATCGTAAATTCCCTGATATAACGGTATTCGACTGATATTCGATATTTTGATAATTTTAGCCACATTTTTAAATGGAACTCTCTAAATATCCATACTAGAAGTTCTTTCCAAGCTTTTTCTCCCTGCAAGAGAAATGTCTATATAGGTCCACGATATCGTATAGCCCACATACAACGGTACCGCCCCATATACTATATTTTGACTATTTTAGGGACATTATTCACCGAAGTTGTTACAAATTTCGTATTTAGAATTCGTAGGTCCAGGTCTTCGTATAGGCCCAATATATCAGTACGTCCCCATATTCTATATTTTTATGATTTTAGCTACATTATTCACCGGATCTTTTGTTCAATTTTCGTATTTGAATATTGTAATCGCTTATGACAACAGTTCCCTATGCAGGTCCACTTCTTCGTATATACCCCAATGTAACGGTTTTTTTTTTCGATATTTTTAAGGTTTTAACAGAATTTTTAGTGGATGTTATCCTTTTGAAAATTTTTAAATTCTCACCATATGGTGTACATGCATAACGAATTTATGTCCAGTTTTTCATGAAAATAATTTCCATTTTCGCCCTAAGTTCTTAACAATATTTTAGGTTATCCATATAGTCTTTATATTTGTGTCGACTCGGAATTTCTTTCAACATTTCTTGCCGAAACTATTTGTATGTTGAAAAATAATTCTTGGGTTTTCAGATTTTAGCGCATGTCTTTTTCTGAAACCATTGACAAATGCACTTCTAGAGGCATGTGATAAATTTGCTTTCTTCTTTTTTATTGTATCGCAGACCGTTTGTATGTCAAGACCATATTTTTCTGATAACATACCAATCACACAAATACTTTTTACGATTAACTTTCAATCACAGGCTGAATGTATTTTATATTCAACTAGCTGACCCAGTCCGCGTTGCCGGCCCGTAGTTTTAGTCTTTAATGCATAGTTTTTAAAGAATAATAATTCATAAATCTCACATAAGTGGCACAATTTTTTGTATAAATTATGACTCGATTAAATAGAAATAAATACGTCTTTCAAAAAATCTGATCTTATTTTTCAGTAAGAGGTTTTAGTTTGAGAGTTAAAAACCTAAATAATATAGCATATATATTAAAAAGTATACATTAACTGTTTATAATAGGCCCATGTAAGACGGTTCCCTAAAAAGTAGCATAAACACACATTTTAAGTCAAATTTCTTCGACAATAAAATCAAAACCCTCGCAATAGGTAAAATCAGGAGGGACTTTTATATGAGCGCTACTCCGAAACATTGACATTGAAAATTTTCCGCGAAGGTCTTCTACCAGAAGGGGAGCTATGTATATCACAATATAGACCAACCTGACACATATTTTGAACAAATGATTTCTCGTGTTACCCCTAGGACTATATCAAATTTAAAACTTTGTCGTAACTTTTGCGGAGTATAGGGCAAAATATTTGCGCCGTTTGTGTATGGTTAAAAAAGTTAGATCCGGGAACCCCTCTTTTGCGATTTTTATTTACCAACCGAAAAATGTCCTAAACCCAAGATTGTCTGCAGCTCAGTGTAATTACTGACGATAGCGCATAGTGCCCGTATAACGTTACCTATAATTTGAGGTTACTTTAAAGGGTTCGGAAGAATTTTCCGAGTATATGACTCCTTTTCTTACTATATTTTCAATTCACTTCACAATTTAGTATAGTCCGTATTACAGTGTCTCTTTATATTCGGCATTTCACTGATTGAAGTCCCAATGAATGAATTTTGAGTTCTCATTGGATGGATTATTTCCATATGTCATGTCAATTCCTCAGCCCCAAAATAAATACTTAGGATTGAGGGAAAGTCAACAGTATGTCGTGTAATAATTTTAAAACCGATATCTTCATTATTTGGCAAATATAAGGATTTTAGATAAATCGAAATAGTGGGCGTAAAAGTAGACGTGGTCAATATTTTTTGCTTTAAAAACCTAACTCGGGGTATGACGAACGTTTGTACAAAAAATTATGCAAATCGGCCCAGCCGTTCTCAACTGATACCATTACCAACGAACAACAATTGATTTATATATATATAGAAAGAATTCCCTTTTGAAAACAGACATTTTACTGAGATTATTTTTTAGATTTGTCAGAGTATTTTCATTTCTTTTTATCATATCTTCATTTTGATTAAAGCTTATTAGTTTTTATTAGATACGTTTTCATTCATTCTACGTGGAATTAGTTAATTATTTCTTATGAGCAAAATTTCGTTGCTCTTGTGGATCAAGTTTTGTTTATTTATGCATTTATTTTACGTTTTTATACATTTTTATCACTTCTAATTCCCCCATAAACATTTTCTTCTCTATTCTTAGGGATAATCCAGCACAAATACATCGTTTGATGCCGTGGATCAGTCGCGATTTGCAATGTTTGTTACGTCAATCCCAACATGATGTTAACACTGTCTTGGAATCCATCAATTCAGCCTTAGTTCTTATGAATATCCTATCGCCGTCATTCCGCCGTCGTTTGCAAACATATTTGGGCAATAAGACCGCACACTTCATACACGAATTGAATAATTTCGCTAGATCGCCATTTGATATGATTGGTTATGATAGAGTTGTTGAATACTCACCACAGTCCAGTGAGGATGTCGTCATAGAATTCACTTCATCGGATGATACAACTGATACAGATGAAATCGACGTAGCTGAAGATTCAGCTACCCAATCTGTCGCTGCATCGACAAATGGTGGGACTCTTGATAATGATGATGTTGAAAATCTTCCAAGTTATTACAGAGTATTTAATACTCATTTCAACTCTTTTACAGCTATAAATTTAACAATTCATAACCGCTTAGCGTCAAATATGACACGACATGGAGGTGATGGAACAGCCGGCCCAAGTGGTTCGATGCGTTCGGTTGTACAAGATGGGGTTAGTTTGGTTATTGATTTAAGAAACGAGCCGGAGGAGTCGACTGCGACCGATGCAGCTGTACATGGCAACAACAGTACAGAGGCTGTAAGTTCGAATTTAAGTCAGCCAACCGTTACGGAAAACATCGAATTAACATCGGGCAGCAGTGATGAATGTGAATTTGTTTTGGAGCGTAAACCTCCACATTTGCGAACACCCGAAAAGGTTAGTCTAGACTCGGCATCGGATTCCGATGTGGTTTTTGTCGAAGAAACAAAACCCTTAAACAAAACCTCATTCAGTACAAGTGAAGCAGAACCGGACAACGATGATGCCGATACGGGCAAAGTAAAACGCCAATCGTCTAATCGTTCTAAAATTACAGCCTTAGTAGAAGCCAAGAAACGTAGTAATCAACAGTCTGCTACCAGTACAACTAAGAATGACGCAACACCAAACAATTCAGATATATATAATGTGGGAGCAAGCACCTCGGCGGCACTACGGCTATCGATACAACAAAACAAAAAGCGGACTAAATATTCTCTGCGTAATGCAAGAGCGGACACGAATCAGGTCAATCCAACAAGACGTCGTGGCAAACGTTTGCCAAGCGAAAGCAGCCATTCCAGTAGTTCCGACTCCTCCTTGGGTGATGGGGCAACAAGTGGGTCTTCAAGCGACGAAGAATATGTTCTATCGGCAAATCAGAGGCATAGTGCGAAAAAACGCAGGCGAGTTAAAAAATCAAAGAGGAGGAGAAGTAAGTGTGGCACTTCAGCTACAAAACGAAGGAAGACAAACAACAATTATGAATCGACTGACGATGATCCGGAGGAAAGTGAAGATGACGACGACGATGACGACGAAGATGATAATGGGCATATGGGAAAGAATTTTGCCCTCGTTATGGCCTTAAACGGGCGACTAAAAAGACAAGAGGAGAAACTAAAAACATTGCGTGCGACAAATATCGATGACGAGGAGAATCAAAGCGAGGGGGAGAACTCATGGCGTGTGAAGGCAGTCAACGAACCTTTACGGAAACAGCAACAACAACAGGCTAAAAGTGCTCTAATCGGTAATGGACGTAAGCGAAGGATACGAAAATTGTCTCACAAGTCAACGAACGACGGAAATATCAAACAGCCTAAACTTGACGACGATGAAACGCAGGGTGGCAGTGATACCCATGGGAAAGAAGAGCCAGCATTCAAAAATGGTGAAAGCTCAGGGGAAAGCAGCGAAAGCGATAATGTAAAGTTAATAGAGTTGAAAACAAAGCTCTCGAAAAATTCTACCAGTAATGAGAACCTGGAATCAACAAGTAACGAGCGTTTACATGACGAAGATGCGAATCGTGTTACCAGTAGCAGTAATGACCCACAAGATAAGTGCACGGAAACAGCAATAGCCAGTCCTCGCTTGCCGTATGCCCAAGAGAGTCTCCATATAACTGCCTGTGATGATAATGCCGCCTCAAATATGCCCACCGTTGTAGTATCCGCCCCCGAAACGCAAACGCACAGTTCATATGATGATGATACAGTTGCCATTGCTGCTGGCTGCAGCCATCCACATACAACAGGTAGCGAAGCCAAAACTGCACCGGTAGATGATATTCAAGGCGAGAATTCAGGAGAAAATTCAGAAAATCAAGACAAGTCTGTTAACTTCAAAAATCCAGTTGATGACATTAAAAAAGAGATGGAAGAAATCGAACATGAGGGTGATACAGAGCATGCACGCAGAGAGGCAAATGAGGACAATGAGTATAGTAATGAAACATCCAATTTATATTCAACAACAGAGCACGATGAAGAACAGGAAGATATTAAACAAGAACGTGAAGAAGGAGAAGAAGAGGATGATGATGATGACGAGGAAGATGATGTAGATGAAAATGGTACTACGTTAAATGAGAATATGTCTCACGATTCGAATGTTTTCGATGCAAATAGCATGAGTAATACGACCACAACCGACACAATACTAAATGACGCTGCCGAACAAATTTCACCAGCTGCCGTTAGTTTTTATACACCTCAGCCACAGTCTTCTTCTTTCAATACTGCCGATTTTGCTGACGACAATACGATGAATAGTAGCAGTTCAGAGAGTTCAGTATCATCTACCACAACATCATCAAGCAGTAGTAGCAGCAGCAATAATACCAATGATTTTATGAATTATCTTTCATAAACTATGTAAGTAATGTTTTATCGGTGATATTTATTAAAGAATTATTCAAATTATATTTTAAAAATTATTTAATTTTAGATTAACTCAAAATTCATTATTTTGATGTGTCCTTGATTTTATTATTGGCTTTTGACATTAGGATAGGGTATAACACACAGTGTATATGTATGCTATGTGTTGAAATTTCGCTAATCTGGTTCTTCCTCTAACAACAATGTAGAAAGGAACCTGAACAAATCGTGCATCGCTTTGGCAGCCCCCTCGATGTCAAGAAAGGCCTTCAATAATATTCTTTCCATTCAGTTAGGAAAACGGTCACTACTTAGCCTTTTGGTGATAATTGACATTCTAATCGAACTGGAACATTTCGGAACAAAGGTCGTGGTTTACGCCGACGATGTGGTCTTGCTGGGAAATTCCCGCAAACTGTTTAAGATCTTATGCAGGGAGCTCGAGTTAAACTCTCGAGATGGGCACGCTGCAATGGACTTGGCGTGAACCCATCTATATCTGAGCTCGTACTCTTCACAAGGAAGCGGAAAATCCCAGACTTTTCGTAACCTATACTGGATGGTGTTATGCTAAGCCTTTCTTCGGAAGCAAAATATCTCGGTATCATCCTAGACCAGAAACTAAGATGGAAGAGGAACATCGAGGAGCGAGCGAATAAGGGCTTAATTGCACTTTATTCCTGCAAAAACTCCATAGGAAAAAGCTGGGGACTCAAGCCTCACATAATCAAACGGTTATATGAGTCAGTCGTCCGACATAAAGTGCGATTAAGCCTTTCTTCGAGCCCTCTACGATATAATTCTTCTAATTTAGTAGATATTCGGGAACAGTACCGAGATACTTGGCTTCTGAGGATAGGCTTAGCGTGACTACATCTAACATTGGTGGTGAAAACTCTACGAGTTTTTTCTTTCTTTCTTTTTCAATGTCGAAAGAAGCTGTCAATATGAAGAAAGAGCCATTCATATTTTTCTCGATGTGACCTACGACGTCGTTTTGCGCTGTCTCAACAGACTTGCCCTTCATGTAGACGTGTGGTAGAGTTCTGATTTCAACCTTTCAGGAGGTTTTAGCAGAAAGGAGGAATGACTAATTGGTCTGTAGTCCTTTGGAAGTGAATGACTTGGCTTCCCAGATTTGGGAATGTATGTGACAGTGAAGCCTTGAGAAACTCCAACAGAATCGGGACTATTGCCGTTGATGCATGTTGTAGCATAGCAGTATTAGTACCATCTGGCCCTGGTGATTTGAAGGGTTTGAAAGTGTCGATGGCCCCGCTTCATTTTGGGAATACTTGAAATTCTATCAATCAGGTTCTCATTCTAAGCAGTACATTGACGACCCCACTGAGTGAGTTTTCGATAGATTATCGCATTTGTACAGTAGGGCCTAAGAGTCTCTAAACCGGAGTCACTCCACGTACCATCTCCACGCTTTATACGTCCAATATATTTACGATCTTTTGAAAAGACTATGCGGAATATGCATGCTTTTTTTGACATTCGCTAGCATATCCATGATTTGCGCTTAACCTTCTTCATCTCAATATTCTTAAAGGCTGCCTTATAGGCTTCCTAGTCCGAACGTTGTTTGGTCTTGTTGGTTCTATAACATAATCTTGAGCTTGCTTTCCTATAGTTGATTAAATGGCCTGCCTGAGAAAGTAAGCGGTCACGATTTTTTTGATGAAGGCCTTGTACTAGAATGTACACTGAGAGGAGATCTTTCAGTCCTATGTAAGCGATCCCTATTAGTAAGGGTGAAATCAATTACCCTTTCCCTGTCCTTGTTTTGAGATTACGGATCAAAAATGGAGTCACTTCTGGCCTTTCCTTGCTGTTAATAGTCTTCGCTACTATCGACAAGAGCTAAATCGTCCTGTAGATTCGCCTTGCTGGCATCCTTTCCTGGATTTAGTAGCAGGACTTCCCGTCCCATTTTTAAGGCTTCGGGAACAATGTGGATTGCTAGCGACATGTTAGGGACATTTGACCGTTACTTAACTTCCGGCTTATTCAGCGATTTCAACAATACAATTAAGATTCTATCCCGACCCAAAGTTTGGGTGACTTGGAGTTTCAGAGGACATGTGCAACATTACCCATTCTAAACTGCAGTGGGCCAGGAAGTGATCTAATACGACATAATATAAGAAATTTCGCCCTATAAGTATTCTATTCACAACTTATTCATATCGGTTTCACTTCTCCGCTAATATTGTCTTGCATCAACCGGTTGATCACCACTATCAACTCGCTGACTCTGGAATCAGTAGGGATGGAGAGACAGAGCTCATCATGGTTATTCGCTAGATGATGTTTCGGAAAAACCTTCTGCAACCCGAACATCAGAAGATATGGGCAGTTCTTTGAAAAAAAACGGCAGTATCAGTTTCTCTCGTGTGATCACTTTGTGATTTTGGGTTTATTGTTCCCATTATGTATCGCATATTTATATAATACAATTTTATTACTATTCAAATATAATTATAAATCTTCTTTCCATTTCAGGTTACAGCCATTCATCTATACTTTAATTCCGACTTAATAAAATAGAACGAACCAAACTACAACCAATCCAATTTTTTTCATGGCATCCATCGACAGCCGATAACGATAGCAACAGAAAAACTCACTAATATCACGGATATCCATAGACACATAAATAATAAATAGTTTAATTTTATATATCGTATATGAACTCTCATCCATAGCAATATATACATATACGCATATGTATGTCATACATAGAATGAACATTTTGCAGAAATCATACATTTGAGTAGAAAGAGCAATGCTTTCATACTATAATAACAATTACAAATATTTAATTGTAACTTATTTTTGGCTGGAATCGTTCCATACTCCATGTCCATAATTGCAACAAAATCCTTAGTATAATTTAATTTAAGTTTGAACACAAATTTGTATGTATAATCTAATTATAAATAGTCATAAGTTTTCAATGTATTTTTAAGTTATCTTTTTTGTATAGTGTACAACTGGTAACACAAGTTTTTGTACATCATCTCAAACATCTCCATCCTGCAATTGCACATAAAAACAATAACCGGAATAAATTCAATTATTATAATGCAATCGATTTCATGAGATGTATCCCTTTGAAAATACAGTCCACTTAATCCAGCAGGAATATTTTAATAAAATTATTAAAAATATTTAATCAAGTGAACTCTCTCATTATTATTATTTTTCCAATTGATCAACGAACAACTATATGTAAAGAAAAAGCAAAACAACAAATACAAAGAATTAAAGAAAAAATGGGGGAAACTCAATTGTAAATAGTTATGATGTAGTTGTGAAAAGTTTCAGAATATTAAGACACAACAATATTACTCTTTGTTTGATTCGAATTAAAACTTAATAAAGGAAAATGTGTTAAATGTGTGAGTGTGTATGTGCGTGTGTAAGTGTGCAGCAAAAAGAGTAAATTGTAATGGGATTGTTCCTCCTTTCGTGTTTGAAATCATTCACCACTGTTCATAATAATATTATAATGGTATTGTACTATCTAAACTCAATAAAATGCTTTCACCGTTCTAAGTTTTATAAGCGATATTTTACAAATGATTAAATTTAAATACTTTACATAATATAAAAATTAAAAAATATATATACACAAACAAAACTACACATTCATATATGGAGTAAGAATGAAAGTGAAAACAAATACATACTTATGTTCATGTATTTGAAAATCGTGTGTTTTATTTTTGATATTGTGGCATGCAACTATGTAGTTTGTAGCACATCGAAATTTATGATACAAACTGATACATCCATATGAATCTCCACATTTAAAACCGTCGTCCTTTGTACAGGTATATAAATGCATTGTTGTTTCCTTTAAAATTATGGTGAGAAATCCGTAAAATAGAGTTGGTTCCCTATATGCAAGTAATGCATTGGCTGTATGTAACTATGACTGACCTATGGATACAGCATTTGCGCACAAAACACACTCCGAGCACGGCATTCATTTTATAGTTGCCTATAGCATCCGCGACTGCATCGGTATGAATGCCTCTCAAACCTGCCTGATAGGCTTCTTGATCTAGAGGTTCCCTCTAATAGCGTTGGATCTCCCTCTCTAGATCATGTATGTCCTTTCTGACACGCCTGGGTAGGGGAGTGGTATCCACCATATGATGGTTGGAATGACTCTCACTGTAACACCCAGTCAGGTACTGCAATGAAAGAAAATGAATATGCTGACGTAAGGGAAGGACTTTCGCCTCCTCGTGTAGATGATTCACTGGTGTCATGAGAATGCACCCTGTCGCAGTTCTGAGGGCAGTTTCACTCTACGGGGCTTTGGACTTCTTGTTCCGGAATTCCACGTACGACTGGCGTCCACACATATAGTTGATTATCCAACGTTTCAAACTTGGCCGGAGGGTGGTTCTCTGCGCGTCCTCAAACAGTATAACATTATTTACCGTATCAAATGTCTTTGATAGCTCAAGGGTTACCAACACTGTTTTGTCACACGCCTTGTTCTGGTTCAGTCCTGTACTAATATGTGTGGTGTGTAATGCTGTTGTGGACGGAATCCGTGCTGGTGCTTGGCAACTATATAGCTTCCTCTAATGCTGGGAAGGAGTAAAGCCCAAAGAGTCTTGGCTACTGACGACAAAAGCGAGATTGGCCTGTACTGAGATTCGCCTTTGCTAGCATGCTTGCCTGGCTTCAGTGGCGGCACTACCCGCCCCATTTTCCAGGTTTCGGGCACTATGTGGGTGGCTAGCGACAAATTGAGAACTTTCGTTAAGAACTCGACTCCCGGCGTCCGGGCCCAACGCTTTGGATGACTTAGCGTTACGGATGACATTTGCAACATCACCCATCGTAAACTGTGGTGGTTCCTTCTCAGCGGGAAGAGATCTGATACGACGTAGTACTCTTCGTTTCGCCCTGTCGCTCTCGGGGTGCTCGACAAATTGTCGGTTAAAATACTCCGCGCACCTCTTCGATCAGTCCCCGTTACGTCGTTAAAAGTGACCGAGGTCCTATCATCCTTTTTTCCAGGGTACGAGAGCGACTTAACCGTCACCCACAGTTTATTCATATCGGTTCCAATGTTGCAACACTTGAGATGGTCTAGCCACTTTTTCCTCTTATACTCCTGTATCAACCGGTTGACCTCCACTGTCAAATCACTGATTCTAGGATCAGTAGGGTTGGTACGACGGAGATCATCACGCTCGTTTGCTAATCCCGCTGCCTCTGCTGGTCTTATCTCGGGTATTCGACCAGCAGGTATATAGCAAGCGGCTGTAGCTTTGATGACGCTTCGGAAAATCCTTTTTGCTACCCAAACATCAAAAAAGTTGGGCAGTTCTCTGAAGCGGCGGTTCGTGAATTCTCTGAACTCTGACCAGTGAGCTTTCCAATGGTTAATGGAAGTACGGCGTCCAGAGGTTATGAAATCGATCGCCCTGCTTATGGAGGCGATTATCGGGAGATGGTCTGAGCCAAGAGAAATGACAGGTTGCCAAGTCACGTCACTATGGTTAAGTCTGGCGAACTGTGACACTTTCGTTGTATTCGGGTGGGGGCATCCTCGTTAACCGTGCAGAATGTGGAGCAGTCAATCTGCTCTGCCAGCGCTGATCCTTTCGTGACATTATCTGCTTGGACGTTGACGTGGAATTCATCCAAACAATCATATGGTGGATATAACTTCGGCAGGGCAGGTGAGACCTACACGATTTTGAGAGGAAGGTCCAAAGCTATTAGAGAGATAGAGAGAGTGTGCCTCTGGATCCATAAGCAATACACTATGGATGGCGTCTTCGGTTGTCTACATTCAGGATGGTGCAGTCGACTGAATTCATATTGCTCTTGTAATGGAAACGCTTAGCACCTTTATACCCTCCACCATAGTATGGAAGGTATATTAAGTTTGTCATTCCGTTTTTAACACCTCGAAATATACATTTCAGACCCCACAAAGTATATATATATATTCTTGATCAGCATAAGATTCTATGTCGATTTAGCAATGTCCATCCGACGAAAATGGGACATGTAGGTCCACGTCTTTGTATAGTCTCATATAACGGTACCCCCGATATTCGGTATTTTGATGATTTTAGCGACATTATTTACCGGAAATATTTAAAATTTGATATTTCAATTTCGTTATGAATACTACAGCCTATGACAGAAAACTGTCTGTGCAGGTCCACGTCTTCGTATAGCCCCCATATAAGGGTACCTCCCGATATTCGGTATTTTGATGATTTTAGCGATATTATTTACCGGAATGATTTTGTATTTGAAGTTCGTAATGGATACTATAGCCTATGCCAGAAAATTGTATGTACAGGTCCACGTTTTATAACCACCATGGTACCTCCCTATAATCGGTATATTGATGATTTTAGCTACATTAAAAAAAGTTTTTTCATAGCTTGTGACATAAGTTGCCTATGCAGGTCCACGTCATCGTATACGGCTACATTCGGTATTTTTAAGATTTATATTCGAAATTTTGATGATTTTAGCTACATTATTCACCGCAGGTCTACGTCGTCGTATAGACCCTAATATAACGGCTACATTAGGTATTTTTAAGACGGATTTTATTTTTGAAAATTGCCCAAATCGGCCGGCCGAACTTACTGCTTTTTTACTTGTTAGTAATATTTTCGGATACCTAAAATTGGTTTAATCTCTCTCTTTCTCTCTCTCTCTCTGAAAACGGCGTATTTAATATTGTTAGTAAGGTCGGTCATATTTTACTCTTGTTCGTAGCAACAATCATAAATTTCCCATCTGTATTCATTAATCGTTTTACTAATTAATAGTAGAATTAAATAAGCGAGACCATTTGTGTTTATCTTAAGTAAAATAAAGCCCACGATATTAATTAAATAGCATTTGTGCCAATATTTGTTAAAGGTACTGCAAAATATCTATAAGTAGCCGCAATTTTCAATAAAGTGAGATATATTGATATTTTTTAAGTCCAGTCATGAAATTTTTCATTGCATGTTTGATTGGTGTAATAACTCTGTTGGCATTTGGCCAAGCAAAGGTATAAATCCATTAATTCCAATTTTTCTAAATTTTCGAAGGTAAACTTTTCGCTTTTTCCACATCAATAGAGTACAACTTTGATAGCCGAGAAAGCTCAAGATGACAATCATGGTGTACAGGAAGATCAAAATGGTGGTGATGTGATTCCTCCGCTCGTACATGTCCTATTTGATTTTGGATCTAACAATTTTTTTGGACGCCCCACTACTCCTACAACAACTACTGCACGGTACTAGTTTTGAAATGAAAATAAAACTTAATAAAATAACCATAAAAGTTTAAAAGCAAAAGTGAATATTGAAAAATATAAAATTTATATTGGTTTAAATGTCTTAATAAAAACATTAATTGAAATAAAAAGAACAGTTATTCACGTTATTTGTTTATACAAAACGTGGGAAAGAAAATCACAAGCAGTTAGAGTCGATTAGAGTCAGACTAAGGTCTACAGCATGTAAAAAATCTTTAAGCAACCAAACGATTCGGGAATGTTCTCAGCATTACTGGAAGGCGATTAAAGACATGATGTACTCCATTGTCTTAAAAGCCCCCCCCCCCTCTAACTTTTTGGGGATTTTTTGAAGGGTATTCCTGCAATATGAATAGAGCTAATGGATCCTCAGAAGACACAGCGAAGATTTAATGAAGTTGAGGGTTTTGAGTTATAAAATCGGTACTCGGGCATCTGCGGAATCTACGTAGGTATGTAATTGAATAAAAAAGCACAATTTACAATGTACTACATCAAATTGTTGCCATCTAGTTGGAATTGAGTAATAAACCAAAATCAATCTGCGCTCAAAATTAAATCAAAGACCTAAAATGGTAAAGACTAGACAAAATGCATTCTGAGCAAATGGTTTGTGTCTATACTATCTAGATAACAGTTCATGACAGGGCCATGTTAATATAAAAAAAATAGATTTATAGAAAAAAATTACAAACAAAAGTTTGAAAAATCCAAAATTGGGTTTTAAAATTCTGTTCCATAGTTTTTCACATTTCACAAGCGGTTTAAATCGCTTAACATTGCTAACTATGTTGTTACGATATCATAACAACAGAGGTAAAAGCGGCACATACCGCGTGTTGGCATAAGATTATTTAATTCTTCCTTTAATTCAATATTTGAAATTTCTTCTGTCTTCATAGGCTGTGGTCAAAGAGTTTCTGGATTGAATTCTGCAGGTCAATTGAATAGACAAACATTTTCATCATCATCATTACGAATTAAGACGACAGCACTATCCAGGTTTGGCTAGGCAGCCAGCTGCAATGGCTGGGCTGTGAACTTCGAGGACGACACTCATACTGTAGTTGTTTAGAACATCGGTGACTGCTTCAGTATGAATGCTACTTAGAACTGCCTAATAGGTTTTTTATACCCTCCACCATACTATGGTTTGTAACTTCTCGAAATGCTCACGTCAGACCCAAACAAAGTACAATTCTAAGTCAATTCTGTATGTCTGTCTGTCTATCTATCTGTCCGTCTGTTGTAATCACACTATCATTCGAACGAATTGAGATAGAAGGTTAAAATTTTGCATACATGTTTTTTTCCAGTAGGCAGGTTAAGTTCGTAAATGGGCCATGTAGGTCCACGTATTCATATAGCCCCCTTATACCGGTACCTCCCGATATTCGGTATTTTTATTATTTTAGCGACATTATTCACAGGAATTGCTTCAAGAAGTTCGAAATAGATACTACAGGCTAAGACAGTAAATTGTCTGTGCAGGTCCACGTCTTCGTATAGCCCCCATATACTCAGTATTTTGATGATTTTAGCGTCATTGTTTCAAATTACGTATTTAGAGTTCGTAATGGAAACTACAGTCTGTGACAGAAAATTGTCTATGCAGATCCAGGTCTTCGTATAGGCCCCATATACCAATACCCACCTATATTCGGTATTTTGACGAGTTTATGTACAATACTCACCGAAATTGTTTGAGATGTCGTATTTGAAGTTCGTAATGGATTTTACAGCCTATGACAGAAAATTGTCTATGCTGGTCCAGGTCTTCGCACAGCTCCGATATAACGGGGCCTCCCTATATACGATATTTTGATGATTTTAGCTACAATTCACCATTTATTTCAAGTTTCGAATTTGAATATGGTAATGACTTATGACAAACAATGCCTATGCACGCCGTTTATACACCAAAATAACGGCTATATTCGGTATTTTTAAAATTAAGGATTTTATTTTCAAATTCGATCCAGATGGTACAGGGTATTCAAAGTTCGGCCCGGCCGAACATACTACTTTTTAAATTGTTATACCCTCGACTATAGTATGGAGGGTATATTAAGTTTGTCATTCCGTTTGTAACACCTCGAAATATACATTTTAGACCCCACAAAATATATATATTCTTGATCAGCATAAAATTCTATGTAGATTTATCAGTGTCCGTCCGTCCGTCTGTGGAAATTACTTTAGCTTCCGAACGAAATGAAGTATGTTGAAAACAAATTTCTCAAATGTGTATTATGTCTGCAGGACTTTTGGTATTGAAAATGGGCTATGTAGGTCCACGTCTTCGTATAGCCCCCATATACCGGTACCCCCCGATATTCGGTATTTTGATGATTTTAGCGACATTATTTACCGGAATTGTTCTAAATTTGGTATTTGAAGTTTTAATGGATACTACACCCTAAGACAGAAAATCGGTCATGTAGGTCCACGTCTTCGTATAGCCCAAATATAACGGTACCCTCCGTTATTCGGTATTTTGATGATATTAGCGACATTATTTACCGGAATGATTTTAAATTTAGTATTTAAAGTTCGTAATGGATACTACAGCCTAAGACAGAAAATGAGCCACGTGGGTCCACGCCTACCCCCTATATTTGGTATTTGGATTATTTTAGCGACATTAATTACCTGAATTATTTCAAATTTTGTATTTGGAGTTCCTATATAAAGGCTATCTCTCATCTATCTACGCCGTATAGGTCTTTCCCAACTTCTACGGGAATAGCTATTGCAGAGAAAGCATGTGATTAGGCTGAGGTACGGGAAGAATCTTTGCCTCCTCATGTAAGTGGTCCACTGGTGTAACGAGAAATCAACTTGTTTCAGTGTTTAACGCAGCGTTCTAGCAAAAATGGAAAATCTTTCACTGCGTGGAACTCGTATTCGCAGATCACACAATGTTTTAAACTTGGTTATTTCTCTCGATATCCTCAATCAGCGTGTCGCGGTTGGCTGTATCAAACACCTTTGATAGGTTAAGGGCTACCGACAGTGTTCTATGGCATTGAATATGACATATGATAATTGACACCTGGATAGCTTCCAATAATTATGGAAAAAATCCTGGGCATATATGACTAGCCTTTGCTGGCAGCTTTGCATGGCTTCAATAGCGGGACCACCCGTTCCATTTTCCAGGTTTCGTTAACGATGCACAAAGGTTTGTAATTACAGCAATCGGGAAACTTCCGGTTCATTGAGGTAGCTCTATAAAGAAAATAAATAAATGCAAAAAGTGAGAGATTAATATTGCAATAGAGATGCTCTGTCATTTTAGACAAACAGACTAAGACCCCGATGAAGGTGGAATCAGGGGATACCTTCATATGAGAATAAGATTAAAAAATATTTATTGGAGCAATAGATATACCGGACCTAGTTTCACAAATTCGGTTGAATATGAAAAAATCTATCCAATTTGGGCTGATATTACATATATAATAACCACATAATAACCGTGAAATCGAATGAAGATGTATCAAAGGCATATAAAAATCGGAACCGATCACGATAAAATTTGGTAGAGTTATTTTCGAGTTGTATCTGATATCTGGTACCAAAGATCATTGTTGTGGAGTGCATATTACGCATGTGAGGGACTTAAAACCTCAAATCGAATGAAACATATATATGGGAGTTATAGCTAAATCTGAACCGATGTTCACCAAATTTGAAGTAATTGCTTCTGAATTCGGTCAGATGTGCCAAATTTCAGGTCATTTGTACTGATATTAGCCATTTGGTGCACAATTAACCCGAAATTGGTTTGAGATATATATGGGAGCTATATCTAAATTTGAACCGATTCTTATCAACTTGGTACATCGTAATATTATTGTCAAACTTAGATCGAGTTCGGAGATGGGCAATATCGGACCACTCCTTATGGTATTTCCCTCACAAAAGGTTAACATTTTGAATATTTATGAAGCTCTTGAAACACGAAATTAAAATCCGATTCCATTCAGACTTGGTACAAATCAATATTTTTTTTCAACACAAGATCTGTTTTAAAGATGGTAAAAGTCGGAACATTTCTTCTGGTGCCTCTCCCACAAAGGGGCAAAGTTTTGAATAGCCAAAACGATTATAAAATCCGAAAAAAAAACATCCGATTCTCTTCAAATAACACACATCTCAATATTTTTATTAACCCAAAGTTTGGTGTGAAAATGTGATATATCGGTCAAATCTTTCTGGTACCTCCCCCACAAAGGGTCAAAGATTTGAATAACCAAAACCATTATAAAATCCAAAATAAGCACTCGGTTCTCTTCATATTTCACACATCCCAGATTTTCTACTGACACAAGTTCTGCTGTGAAGATGGGAGTGGTCCGCCTTTTGATACCTTCCCTACAAAGAGTCAACATTTTGAATAATTATAACTTTTATAAAATGTGATGTAAGAGTCGGATTGTCTTCCAAATACGCAATTCACAATACTTTTATTAAACCAAGGTCTGGTGTAAATATGGAATATAACAGTTCACTCCTTCTGGTACCACCCCCACAAAGGGTCAACATTTTGAATATCCATGAAGCTCGAAATTAACATCCGGTTCCATTCAGACTTGGTACAACTCAATATTTCCAACAACACAAGATCTGTTATACATATGGAGGAGATCGGACCATTTTTTCTGGAAGCTCCCCCACATGGGGTTTCAAGATTTTGGAAAACAAAACGCTCGAACAAAGCGAAATGAGCATCTAACTCTTTTCAAATTTCACACATACAAACATTTTTACTAACACAAGATCTGTTTGAAGATGATATATATATATATATATATATATATATATATATATATATATATATATATATATATATATATATATATATATATATATATATATATATATATATATATATATATATATATATATATATATATATATATATATATATATATATATATATATATATATATATATATATATATATGAGGTACCAGAAGGGGTGCGCATATATATATATATATATATATATATATATATATATATATATATATATATATATATATATATATATATATATATATATATATATATATATATATGCGCACCCCTTCTGGTACCTCACGCACAAAGG